CAGCTCTTAGATTTATCTTTGGAAGGTTCTTTCTCAATGCAGATTTTCACTATCCAGCCCAAATTACAGAGCCCAGATAACGCTGCTGAATACATGCCCAAAGCAGGAACTTGTAAGCACATCACAGCCTTGCAGCACAAGTTAAAGCCACAAAATACCAAAAAACTGAAAGTCCAGCCCAGCTGTGAGCACACTCTCTGTGTGTTCAGATTTAGACTGAAAGGGGGATGTGAGAGATGGGATTTACTGTGGTAAAGGGGGACTTTCCAATTGTTTTGTGGGCATTTTGGAAAAGTCCACACTGTTAGACCTGTAGCTGGCTCTATTTGTCCAAATAATATCTGTCTCTTTCTAAAGTCTGCCTGCTGTAGATCTGGTCAAAAACTGAGCACTGGAAGTAAACTATGCAATTACTTTAAATCTTTTTTTTTCCCTTGCAAGTTACTTGTAAACCTGTCTTTATTTCCACAGATGTATTTTCCATTCAAGGTATTCATGAAGCAACTCCTGCCAAAAAAATTTCAGTGTAGGGCCTGTTTTCCAGAACGATTATTTTAGCTGTTTACTCTTTTTACTTTTGAAGTATGAAAGATTCCCTAAATGGTGAGGTATTACTTCTGCTTCTCATCCCAGAGGATTGTAATTTTTTTTTTATCCAAAGAGTATGAAACTATAAAAAGAAAGACACAACATACAATATGGGACCTCTTTTGCAGTATGAACAGGGATGACATTTCATCCAGCACACATCCCATTTGTACGGAAGGTAACTGCAAGGAAACATAAAAATGTAAATCTAACAAAATTATGGAGCTATTTAGTATCAGCTGCTGTGCTGGGAATGGTGGAATGATGTTGTCTCAGTCACCCCCATTCAAAGTTAGGAATATTGGCTTAAATCACCAATGAAACAGGGTTGTGTTGGGATGTCAGATGGTGAGCTGAGGTACAGAGCTGAACAGATTTAATGGGCCTTGTGCTGCTGAAAGAACTGTCCTGTATGGCTCCCTCCTCCCTTCTTCCCCCTGCAAATCTCTATGGAAGGGTTGGACAAAAAGTCAGGGGGACAATAGCATAAACAAGTACAGGCAAATCAGCCAGAGTGTTTCTATCAGAGCCATACTTTTAATTTATAAACCTTTGCTTCCTGAAGTAAAAGGAAATTGGTGATGGGATTTTTTGTTTCTATCCCAAAAGTGTTTCTCAGATCCCAGCTATCTCAGGATACACTCTGCTATACCTCACCAGGACACTGCTCTCTGCCTGGTTTCTTGTCAATGGCAGGTGTTTAATAGAGGAAGATGAAAGGTTCACTTGGAAGCCACAAATAGAGCCACAAAAATGCACCCTTCAGATTAAATAATGTCAAAGTTTTACCTTTTAATAGGTAAATTAATATTTTTAATTGAAATACTTTCATTCCAGTTTTATTTGTTTTCTTAGCACTTGACTGGCTGGCATAAACCAAGTAAGGCTGCACATCTTATGCCTGTTTTCTATTTCAGCACCATTTCCTTTTTGCAGCTCTCTCTACACCATTTGAGGTTTTGTTGGTCTTCCTAGAAGTCAGAATGGGAAAGCAGACTCCTTGGAAAGACACAGAACAAGGGAATTTTTGTAAGGGAGAAAGTGGATTAATGGGAGACACTTCTTGCTGCTAAAAAGCAGTCATAGATGCCACTTCCAGAGAGCTGGTGTCTAATTTCTCTAATGCGAGCTACCACTTGTAGTGTGGTCAGCAATTGTGCCAGGGCCTGTAGGGAACTGAAAAGTTCCAATATTTATTTTTATCCTGCTATTGGCTTATGGAATTTGAAGGTACCTTTTTTAGCTTGCATAACTGTAAATATTGTTACTGGACCTCCCGACCTCTTTTCTATGTTTGCTCGCCCCAATATTTGACCTCCTAACCTGCCCCAGGAGATGGCAAATTCCACATGCTGGATGTGGGAGTCCTGTTACAGACACTTTCAGTTTTGCTGGTTGAGCTCCTGTTCATGCTTCAGAATGAGCAAAAAACGTTGGGGACTGATCAGTTCTCCTTAGAGCCTTCTTAAATCTTGATTTCCTTCTCCTGCTGTCTCCTACATGAGGACAAAGGTCCATTGTTTCCATTTGAGCTACCTGCCCAGCCTGTCGCTGTTGTGTAAGAAATGCTAGGAGGAACTGGCAACTGCTTCAGACACAGGACCCTCAGTCTATAAATACAAACTCCTATTTCTGTCTTGTATCATAGTCAATTTCCTGATTGTTCCTGCTACTCCATCCAGGAGCTCTTTGAGGAGGAGTGAGTCAGGAGTTACAGTGTGCAGTGCACATTCCCTGAGATCTTCCCAAACCCACAGCTGGAAACTGCCAAGGAGATAGCTGCTCTGCATTCCCTGCTCAAAAGAGGGTTTTAAATGTACTTTCCACTGAAAACCGCATTTTTTTCCTCTGCCACTGACCACTCCTCCCCTTACCTCACACTTGTCAAGCCACATCACTTAGAGGACTCTGCTTGTCTCAGCTATTGTCCTGAATCCTGATTCAGGACTCTGCCAACTACACCAATTTGTCATGAACAAACGATTTGGGATTTAGATCACTTCGAGAATCATCATCAAAGATATTTGTGAAAGGGATTTTAATATAATGCTGTAAAAATGTTTGATGGCAAGTCTGTTATTAAACAGCGCAATCATTTGAACAATGATTTGAGACTACCAAGGCGCAAGTAAAAGTTACCAAGAAAAAACAACAGTTACTGAGATAAGATCAAAGGTACCAGGGCAAAAATCAAAGTTACCATACCACAGGGTTCTGTGCAGTATCAATCACTTACCAGAGATCTGCTGCTGGTAAAAGGTCTCTGCTTTGAGAGGCAGCCTGGAGGATTGTCACAGTGCAAGGGGAAATCGCTGCCATGCAGCCAGGAGAGCTCAAAGAAGGCTCACTCAGGCCTTTATTTATAGAATAAAGTGGTTGGCTTGCAGTCAAATTACATGTGATAGTAAAGGTATGCATGAGACTCCTTGTACCCACAACTTGCTTTGTTCCTTGATAAATGAGTCTTGGAGAAGGCGCTCACTATTCATGTGTTAATCGCATGGCTGGTGTTCCAAGCTCATGCCTCGATGCTCACTGGGTCAGCCCTGCTTCTTTGTGGGTTTTCAGACAGCAGATTGAAACCAGAGGAGCTCTTGGTCCATTTGCAGCTTATGCTTTTCCATCCTTTGGAGTCTGAACCAAACTAGATTTGTTCGGTTAAGGAGTTTTATTTATTACAGCAGTGGGTAACACTCCCTCTCCTGTAACTGTATTTCCTGATCATGAGCATGCCGGAGTCTGTGTGCATTCACCTGTGTTTTGTGCTGCCTGCTGGCTTCCCCAAGAGGTGTCACAAAGGAAACCTTAGCAGCACAGTTATTTTTGGGCCAGTTTGTAGTGGTGCACACTCCACATCTCCCTGCTCTGGAAACAGATGGGATGTTCTTCTCAGCCTTGCAGCTCAATGAACCTTTGGCCTTCTAGACTTAGTTATTTGAGTATTGTAAAGGCCAAAGACGCTGGTGTGATCACTTTTGGCTCCTCACTTAAACTCAAGGTGGGTTGAAAGAGAAAACTCTAAACCAAAAATTTTGCAGTGGTCTATAAGATTTTTAATTAATGATTTTTTTCATCTATTATACCTGGACTTTAAATTCATTATAGACCTGAAACTTTCCATCGAGTGGAGTGATTTAATATACAGGGAGTTAATTTGACTTTTTATTTCGCATAATTTTCTTGTCCTCTCTTTACCATCAGTTCCTGGATTAATGATGTCTATATTTTTCCTCTCATTGTCTAGTTCTAGGAAAGACTAACATTTATCTCTCCCTTAATAAAGTCTTAACAAAGTACATTTTCACTGTCACAGCTACCTGTGCATCTTCCTCACTAATTGTGTCTCTTATTGAGCACAGTAGCTCCCAGGTCTTCAAAAGCTGCTCTGCACCAGTGAGATACCACCAGTATCTCACTGGAGGTACATTCTGCAGGTTTGGGGAGTCTCATTCCTTCTTTCTAGTTAAGGAACATTGTCCTGATTATTTCCAAGGGCACAAATATTACCATTTTAGTTTCTTTGACTTGGGCCGCAGGAAAAAAAATTGTGACCCCAGAGTGACTTCCCCACTGCCAAGTCTAAGGATGATTACGACCATTTCAGACATAAAAATCAGCTGCAAAGTTTGGACCCTTATGCCACCTACCCAGGGCTGGAAGCTGTGCCCAAGGCAATGCTTCATATTCTCCCCTTCACAGCTGTCTGAAGCGCAGATCTGGACTGGAACTTCTGAGGTTTGATGGGTGTTTGTGATCTGGGCTTTTGATTCCATTTCCTCTCTTTTTCCCAACCCTTGGGTAGCTGCCCTATCTGAGAACGCGCGCTGCACACAAGAAACACCCTTCTCAAAAAACACAAACAGAGTAGGAACACTTCTACCTTCTTAAAAAACACTCAGAGCAGGAACACAGAGAACTGAAAGAGCTTCACCAAGAAGTTTTGTTTCTCTGTAAGCCATATGTAGGAAACCTTGGCCTTTTCACTCCCTCTTTGTTTGCTGTATTTATTTCTTTTTCTCCTCTCCAGATTGAGAGAATTTTCTGCCAAACAGAGAAAGGCTTTGTGAGATGAGGGGCACATCAGACTTATGCAGCTTGTAGAGTTTGTGCTGCCTCCTTCTGAGGGCTGAAGGCTAATCTCTTCCTCCCCTACCCTTCCTTCCCTAAAAAGCATCTCTTTTTAGTAATATCCCTCTTCTAACCCTTTTTTTTTTTTTTTTTTTTGAGAAAGGCTCATAACTACTCTTGGCAGAACACAGCAGACATCCTGCCACTGGTTTTTCTTCAAAGGGGAGCAGAGGAAAAAAGCAGAACTGAGTTTTCAAAGGAAACTCGCTGCCAAAGCCGAGGAGCAAATGATACAAGCGGCGCATGTCCCCCCCAAACCGTGGGTATCCCCGAGCCAGACTCACGTGGGGATTGGCGCTGTCCCTGTCCGAGGCCATCCCTGTGCGTGTCCCCAGCTCTGTCCCCACGGCCGAGGAGCGGAGCGCTCGCTGCTGCCGGAGCTCTGAGCCGGGCAGGGCGCAGCTGCTGGAACAGACCCGCTATTCATGTGCTCGTGTGCCGGCATCCGCCCGCCTGGCATGGCCTGGCCTGGCCTGGGGGCGACACGGGGGCTGGCAGCGGCTCCGCATTGTCAGCCAGCCCTGGAACAAGCGGCCCTCTTACACTTTCCATGACACCCGTGTGCGTGGTGCCACCTCTGCGAGCCCAGCTGAGCCCCATGAGCTCACTCGGGCAGGGAGCTGGGGATGCTGCCAGGGTACCAAGAGGTTCCTGGCATGGGCTGAGCAGCCACAGCCATCCCAATCTCTCCCCTCCCTCCTTCCCTCCCTCCCCAGCACACAGCAGAACTTACAGATGAAAAACCAAAAGGCGAAGCAACAAAATCCACAAAAGTTGTCTCTGCTAGTTCACTGCAGAACTTACAGATGAAAAACCAAAAGGCGAAAAAACGAAGTCCACAAAGGTCGTGTCTGCTAGTTCACAGCAGAACTTACAGACGGAAAACCAAAAGGCGAAAAAATGAAGTCCACAAAGGTTGTGTCTGCTAGTTCGTTGCAGAACTTACAGACGAAAAACCAAAAGGCGAAGAAAAATCCACCAAGTTGTGCCTGCTGCTAAGATAGTGTTACATCTCAGAGAAAATTTATTCTTTTAACAGTCCCTTCTTCTCCTTTTTCTCCCCAGCCAAAATGCCCTTCCTTTTCCCTCCCCAACTTTTTTTTTTTTTAAGTTTAATTTGATATGTCTGGTTTTAGCTGAAATGAAAACTTGCTTCTCGCTGAAGTTAAAAACAACTGTGAATGACAGTGGAATGGAAATGTGTGCAGCCAGAATCAAGTCACAGTGTGGAAAAACATGTTGTTATTATTATTAGGTGGGTTCCTCAGGCAGAAATATCAGCAATAATTCTCTAGATTTTAAAGAAAGTGCTACTTTGTGCTACTTGCAAATCAGGTGGGCATGTTTGGCTTTTGAAGGAGAATTTCTGTAGTTCCAGTAGCATAGAAAATTTATGGTAAGGAATATATTCTGTTTAAACAGCTCAGCCAAACGTGTGTTCTAATACTCCAGCCTGCCTAAAAGTGCTGACAAGTCTGTCAGTAGATGATCCTGTTGCATTGATGCTTCCCAGCAAAAGGCCTCATTTTGCAGTGAAAATACTAGTGCTTAGTACTGCAAGTTCATTTCAAAGTGCTGATGAATGTAACCTCTCTGCATTCCTCTTATACAGCTTTTTTTTTTTTTTTTTTTTTAATGTATGGATGTATGAGCTGAAGCAGTGAGATGTGTTTAGGGACTGGGCTAGTGTTACACAGGAAAACAGGGCTGGGATACAGCTCATTTCATCCTGAGGGTTTGGCCTGAGGCTGGAAGCCCATCAGGAACCATTAGGCTGATTCTATAATCAAAAGCCACCACCAAGGTTCCTATTTTTGAATGAAAATTGAGGTCCCTGCTTCTTGTTATCACTGAAGTGATTGTTTGAGTTCTGCAGGGAAGTGCAGGTGAGGGGAAAGGGATTACTCACTGCTGCTCTCCAGCACATGTTGGCTTTTGCCTTTTTATTTTTCCATGGTATAAAGAGCATTTAACCCCAAATGCAGCCATCTGCTGCTGTTGTTGACTTGCTGGCCTGCTAGGAACCTATATGTTAACTAAAATTCTCTGTGAGTATACTATTGCACAGATGCTGATATAGATAATTACCTGCTTTAATTTACTTTTTTTTTACTGTATTCTATAAAAAGATGTTATGGTTAATCAAGTTATAAATATATGTTGTTTATTAAGAGATAATTTACCCTGGGTGGGTGCCAACAGTGTACATTAAGGCATTCCTGGGAGTTAAAAGGGCTTCATCTTGTACAGGTCCTTTGTGAACAGGCTTCCAGCAAACAGCCCATGAAAGCTGGCCAAAGCCTTTTTGAGTTTCTATATAGCATAAAACCAGCTACAAAATATTTTCTAGTGGTCAGACAGGAATGAAGTATCTATGATTTCATTTAGTAGATGAACAAATATTACCAGTGCACGAATTTCAAGCAGGACTTCATGATATATAACAATGTGTCTTTTTGAAACTATTTTTTTCTGACTATATCTAAATGCCATGCTAGGAGGGTGTTTCTTTTAACACACTCTCCACAGAGGTATTGCAAGGAGCAGTAATCTTGTACCGTGCCCTCAGAACTACAGAAATCAGTCAAAACTTATGGCAACCCTTGTAAATCCTTCCATCAAACCAGATCCTCACTGCCCTCTCCCAGGCCAACATGAGAGAGGCTTTCTGCCTCCCTGGAAGTCTCAGGAACCAAACACATTAAAATAAGAAAACTCCAAATAATAAAATTACTCATGGAAATGCTTTGTCTATGTCATTAAAAGCAAAGCTCAGAGCCAAAAAAAAAGTGAGGAGAGAGGGGAGTTTATTTTAAATTGGGTTATAATAGCTGCCCAAGAAAGGAGTGCCTCAATGAACACAGTTATTTAGATATCCTTTTTTCTGAATGTGATTACAAAGAGCCACATTTTCCAAAATATCTTTCCAGTAACTGTTAATTATGATGCAAGAATGCACGATTGTAATGGTCCAAAAACTGAGGCACAGAACATGCAGCCCAGCTTGCAGAAGGGATTGTGTGACACGAGGAGTAGCACTCACCAGTTTTAGATTAAGCAGCCCCTGAACTCCCTTCTTTTGCATAACATAAGTGGGACACCTTTGAAACCAGGCTGTTCCAATGGGTGTTGATTGATTGATTGGTTGATTGGAGAGTTTTTCTGGTGCAGCATGCTGGAGCAGAGATGGATGGCTTGGAGGAAGAGCAGTGATCCCTGAAAGGAGGGTGGGGAGTATCTGGGGCATGATGGAAAACAAGTCCATGATTTTCCTTGTGACATCAGCCCAGAGCTGAGGGGAGGCTCAGAGGATCAGCCCCACTCACTGGGGAGCAGCACACAGGGCAGAGTTGCTCATTTCCATTTCCATCCCCATCCTCTCCCCTCCCTTGTGCCAGCCCAAGCGCTTGCGCAGCCACCCAAGCAACCAGACAGAACTTCTTCCAGCTGGAAGGGAAAATAAAGTTGCAGGCTATTTTTCTGGCTGGGATCAGCTCCCTGACCTGGTTCTGCACATAAGTGAGCAAACACTTCCACTGGCAGCAGGGAGGGCGTCCGGTGGGAAATGGAAAAAGCAGCTGGGAGTGGAGGAGGGTGGGGACCTGGCTGTGAGAGCACAGCCCTGCATGCTGGTGCCCCTGTGGGGCTGCCTCTCACAGGCAGCACGGGGAGAAGAGCAGAAATCCGTGGGCTGCAGGTTTATCCAGCACAGACACCCAGCTGCAGAAAGCAGCCGTGCTCATGAAGGCTGAGATCTCTGCAGAAATGCTCTCCCCTCCACTCTCAGATTTGTTGCAGGACTTCAGAGAGTATCCAAGATGGAACAGTTTCAGGAGGACAACTGCACTTTTCACAGGGAGACTTCATTTCTTAACTCTTGATGGGCCCTTGTCTTGTATTGCAAAAGTAGGTTGGGTTTGGTTTTGGGACACTCTTTCTCCACCCTGTAATTCTGGGTGACCTCTGCTCCGTGTCAGGAAACAAGAGTGCTGTGGGTGCATTCACCTGGGAAGATAAGAATACAGCCTGACCTGTTCAGCCTCACAGAATGAAAACCAACAGGGATCCTGAGCTGGAAAACTCCAGAGAGAGGGAAATATGCAGCAATAGCACAGGAACTAATTAATAAACTGGCCAAGAAAAAAGGCTGGGTTAGAAAGTTGGGAAGGTTCTTGGCTGCCTAGGTGCTCATGTTCTGAAGAAATCAGCCAGTGAGAGCATCAAGGACAAATAAATGAACCAAACTGGGGATGGAGTTCGCAGAGTTTGCCACAGGGATCACCTGTGACAGCCAGGGACTGCCCCTGCCAGCCCTTCTTATCCCAGCTTTTCTTTTCTGTGTTTCAGAACACAGAAAAAAAGCAAAAGCTTGAAAAGGGGGAAAAGCAAAGCTCAGCAGAACTGCAGTGCATGCTACTGTAGTGTAGGCAAATACCTAGATAGGCAAAGGCCCATTTTCTGTGGTTTCTTTAGGAATATTAGTCCCTTTAATTATTGGTAGGATTCCAGATCCTGGTAAGGCAGACTAGCTTCACCTGCTAGAGGAGAGAGCCACAGAGAACAGCCCAGTGCTTGGAAGAGTAATTCATAATCTCAAGGAAGGTTCTGGAGGCAAGGAGCACACATGTGCAAGCAGTACTTCTAAAATTCTCCCAGAAGGTGAAAAATGAACATATATATCTCCAATGAATCATTAAATTTTATGAAAGCAAGGCTAGAAAGGATATTAAAGAGCCACCCATCCCTCCTCCAGCTCCAAGAGCACAGCAGGTCAGGGGTATCTGCCCTGTTCACACAGATGTTGATCCAGCCTGCTTTGAAAGTGCTCCAGACATGTTGATTTCCAAGGCAACCTATCCCAGTGCTTCAGTAACACCATTCTAACAGCTACAAGTGGTTTTGGTAATACTTAATTTAAAAAAAAAATGTCCCTGCTGCAATTTTAGCCTGTTATTCTTATCCTCTCCACGTGGGAGAGAAGAGATTATTTCCTTCCTCTTTGCTACAGTTGTTTACATTTTTGAGGACTGTTATCATGTCTCTGTTCAGTCTTCTCTGTATTTAAGAAAACAGAAATTCTTTTGCTGTCTCCTCATAGGTTATATTTCATAGGTCTCTGAGTGCTGGTGCTGCTATCTGAACTCTTTCCTGCTAAATTATCAGAGTTTTGGGCTGTTGGGAGTCTGCATTAACACAGGTGAAAATGGTCATAGGGGGTGCAAGTGGGAGAAATAACAGAGGAATAATCTTCTGTGTATCTGGATTGATAATGGGAGACAGGGCAGAGACTGTAATTTTTGTGGGGTCTGACTGAGTAGTAGTTTTCTGTTTGTCCTTGAGAGAAAAATCACTGTTTTTCCCTCCAGA